GAATGGGGAACGGGGAATGGGGGGTGTTTGCCAGCTGGATTGAGGACTCAAGTGCAACTAACTAACTGCCAGGTACAGTACTTCTGTTTGGATGTCTGGGTGTGTTTGTGCTGTGCTGTGCTGTGTACTGTACCGTACTCAACTCAGGATTAAATGTACTTGTACTGTGCCCTACTTGAAGAATAAGAATAAGCTGGATGCTCAATAGCTCAGCTTCAGATGAGGTCGGGGATAAGCAATGCATTCCCCGTCTGACAGCTCCCGCTTGACTGAATACGGGTTAGTTGGGTTGGGGTGGTTACTACTGCACGCCGGAGGTAATGACTCGTAGTACGGAGTACCGTATCGTACGTACCTAAATCCCCGAGGCCGAGACTCCACCACCACCATCGCCGCCCGCCCCGGAGTTGTCCACCGGAGATAGCCAATATACCGAGAACCAGCTTCAACTTGACTATAGACATGCACTAGATATGGACAGCATCCACGACTATATAAGGTAATGCTGCACGGTTGCGAGACTCTACAAAGTCACAGCATACTTACTACACACACTAACACATACACACACACACACACACACACACACAAACTAATCTCCTTAATCTTCACAATCTACTGCTTCACCCAACCTATTCTTCACCCACTTCACCCACTTCAGCACTCATCCCACAATGTCAACATCCACCACCACCAACACAGCCGCCTGGCTCCTCGAGCCCAAATCCCACCCCTTCCAACTCCGCGAAGCGCCCCTCTGGCAGCCCGCCGAGAACGAGATCCTCATCCGCAACCACGCCGTGGCCGTCAACCCCGTCGACGGGAGCCTGCAGAGCAAAGCGTGGTGGCCCATGGAATACCCCACCATCCTGGGCCAAGACGTCGCCGGGGAAGTCGTGCAGGTCGGGCCCGCAGTGACACGGTTCCAGCCGGGCGACCGCGTGGCCGGGCTGGCCGTGGGCATGGCCACCAAGCGCGACCAGGACCACGCCTTCCAGGCCTACACCATCCTCCAAACCAACATGGCCAGCGAGCTACCCGACACCCTGTCCTACGAAGCCGCCGCCGTGATCCCGCTGGGCCTGTCTACCGCCGCGTGCGGCCTGTTCCAGGACACCCATCTCGCGCTGCAGTATCCCGCGGAGCCAGCACGCCGGCCCCCCACCAAAGAAACGCTGCTGATCTGGGGCGGCGCCGGCAGCGTGGGCAGCAACGCCATCCAGTTGGCCGTCGCCGCCGGGTACGAGGTCGTCACGACGGCCTCGCCCCGGAACTTCGACCACGCCACGCGGCTCGGCGCCAGCCGGGTCTTCGACTACCGCAGCCCCACCGTCGTCGACGATCTCGTGGCGTGGCTGGAGGGGAGGACCCTGGCCGGGGCCATGGATTGTATTGGGTTCGCCGCCACGCCCATGACCGTGGCAGTGGTCAGCCGGTCGCAGGGCTCGAAGTTCGTGGCCACGGTCAAGGGCGGGTTCGAGGCCCCCGACGGCGTGACCGTCAAGAGCGTCTTTGGGACCACGCTGAAGGACAATGCGGTGGGCAAGGCGATCTACGAGGACTTCCTCCCCCGCGCGCTGAAGGCCGGATCCTTCGTCCCCGCCCCGGAGCCCCTCGTCGCAGGTCAGGGTCTGCACAGCATCCAGGCAGCGGTCGATCGGCAGGCCCAGGGCACCTCCGCCCAAAAGGTGGTCGTCGTGCTGTGAGTGAGCTAAACCGGCGGGTTTTGTGTAACGCTGATTCTCGCGTGGTTTCATCTGGTTCCCGACCTGCCCTCGTATCCTATTGGCCTTGTCATTTGTTGCGATATGCTCCGCCCGGCCTGGTGGACACATGTACCCCGGGACTGGCCACAGTATTCGTGTTCTCGGGATTTTGTTGTTGAAGAAAAGTTTATGACACCATAGCCCCATCAATAGGAGCAATGACAGCCGTTGGCATGATAGAGTTGTTGACTCAAACCGTGAGGTCGTACAGATTCTTGACGCAATGGACACACCACGGACCTTCAACTAGAGTTTCCTGCCCTAAGAAACCATACGTAGCAGACCAACTGTACAGGAAGTCGAATGTAGAAATCGGTGGTTTCACAGACCTTCAGCCTCAAACTTGAAAGGTTAAGTGTTCCTCTGGTGTCTGGAAGAGCACACAGCCCACGTGTAGAGACCCCTCTTCTCTACCAAGGAAAGCTTCTCACAAACATGTGCCATAAGCCTTGTGTCAGAGCCGAGGCCGTGCCGCCTCCATTCGCAAGACCTCAACCACGTTTGTCTGGCTTGGCAACAAGCTCCGGCCAAATATAGGACGAGGGTTCGGGCACCAAGGCCCAGCATACGACAGGGAGTCACCGACAAACCGAGCCCTTAAGCTTATTCTGCTCAGATCAAGTGGGGTATTCGACAGAACTGATCCAGGGACGTTGAACCCACCCAGAAAGGGCAAGTGCGCGGTTTGTGATGGTTTGTGCCCCATTCCCATACACGGCCCTGACGAAAGTGGCGTCAGCGCAAGCGGTGGTTCTGTTAGAGTGAGTTGAGTTATCTGCATCTCTGCACAGAACTCAGCCTCATCACCCGCAACTCTAATAGGCCCAATAAACAAGGCAGCTGACAGCTAGAGCGGGCATGTTCCTCACGGCCTCACACATATGCAGCCATCGAATTGATTCCGACTTCAGAGGGCATTAATCGCGCTTCGTGTTGTCATCAACCCAGAAAAGAGTCTATCCCAGCCAATGTCTCAGGTGAGGATCGTCGTAATTTGTCCACCGGATCGATGATCCGTATTCGAAGAACCTGAGACCAACCGTGGCGCTTATGCGTTACCGGTCCCTACAGACGTAGAAAGGCAGCACGTCGCAACACGGTCGCGTTTCTGGGGTCAAGCAAGATCGGAGAATAAGAGTGTAGCACAGCATCGTCGGTAAGGTCGCCCCAAGAGGAGACTCTACCCAGCACTACGCATCCTCGAGCAATACGCTAACTGGTTCAGCGCGGATTCATATCAGCTCAGCAACGCTAGATGTGAATTCTTTGGCCAACCTCCAGCTTGTCAACATGTCGCAAGTCGTCCAGAGTCGGGACAGCCCTCCCAGAAAGCGACAGAAGCCCGGAGCAGCGTGTGAGGAATGTCGACGGCGGAAGCTCCGTTGTGATCGTCGTCAGCCGCAGTGTGGCATGTGCCAGGCTTCGGGCGTCGATTGTTTAGTGATCACCGCGCGATCGCCACGAGGGCCCAAGCGCGGATATCTCAAGTTGCTGCAAGCGAGAGTCGGTGAGTACGAGGTTGAACTCTCGAGAGAGTGTTGTTAACATCTCCCAGCCGCTCTGGAGAACATCCTACTTCACAATCAAGGTCAAAGCACGGTGGCTCCTCCAGAGGTGCAGCCGCCAGAGACCCAGTTACTAGATGAGCAGGTTGATCTGTCAGCGTGGGAAATGCCTATCTTAGGAAGCCAAATCGTGGAGAATTCGTACTCGGCGTTGACGGCAGAGAACCTGCCCGGTTCTTTGTTAGGAGATGTCCCAACGCCAGTGCCTTCCATATCCCCACCAGGCCAACTGTCCAGCGCCGGAGACGAGATGTCCATCCCAGGTCTAGATCCTAGTTCAGTGCCGAGATCAGCATCGGAGGATGTCTTTGAGGTCCACCTATCAAAGTTGATGCAAGCAGACTTGTCAGTCCTCGAATCTCAAATCCCAAATGACCATCTAACGAGGTACAGGGATCAACTGTACTTCGATCGAGTCCAGAGCTTTATGCCTATTCAGCACCAGCGTCGCTACTTCGACTGGCGGCGGCTGCCGTTTAAAACAGAGGCACAGTCTTGCCTACAGCATGCTACATGGACCCTCGCCGCCTCGGTCTCCGCGCACTACCAGAGCATCGGTGGCTCCTTGTATCAACACGCAAGGCGAAAATTAGAGGCGCTGGATTCCCACCCCGCAGCCATGCCCTCGACAGAGCTCGAGCAGGTGCAAGGATGGCTCCTACTTGCTGTCTATGAGCTTATGGATGTTGACTTGCGCCGGAGCTGGATCAGCGCCGGACGAGCATTTCGGCTGATTCAGCTGAACTGGCTCAATAGCCTTGACGGAACGGATCTCACGTACGGACAGAGAGACTGGATCGAGTCGGAGCAAAAGCGCCGAACTTTCTGGATGGCTTACTGTTTGGACCGCTGCGTGAGCATGCGGACGGGGTCGCCGTTGACCTTCAGTGAACGCGTAAGTGGCGTCGACCTAACCCAACTTCAAGGGGAAAAGCGGAACTAATTGAGCCCAGGTGGCTATCCGCCTGCCAGCGCCCGAAGGAAATTTCCAGAATGATCAACCAATCTTGATGGGGTTCCTTCCTGAGGCTCTGACAGCCACAGACCCTGCAGCGGTCTCGAGCTTCACCGAATGCATTGTCGCTGCGACCATTGGAGGCCGTGCGCTCTCGCACCGCCACCAACTCCTCGTGCGCGACATTTACTACGACGTCACGGAAGACTTTCGAAAGCGACATCAATGGATCAACTCGATCCTGGTGCGGCGCATGGAGGCGTTCGCGTCGCGGTACCCAGGCGATATGCCCCAGGCGGACCCTATGCTTCTATTTGTGAATCTCATGTGGCGAGCGATCATTCTTCATCTATATCAGACTATGGCCTGTGAGGTTCTCCCGGGCGAGAATGAGGATGAACTGTTGCGAGAGTACAAGAAGCAATCTTTGGCAGCTGCGCAGGATATTGTCGACTTAACGAATCGGCTTTGTAATCTGAACTCTTTGAAAGTGAGGCCTATCATCCCTCGAGCTGTTACAGCGCTGACCCTCCAGGACCATCCACTGACAATGATTCCTTTGTCAGTGTGTGTTCAGTTCTTGATCATGTTTCAAAAGCCCGGTGATTCCGACATGAAGCCGTTGCAGGACCTCACGGAGGCGATGCGTAGTCTCAAGCGATTCAACAATCTAGGTCAGCCAGTTTTGCAGCTTGTGGAGGAGCAGATGCTAGCCGGAACATATTCTTCGCCCCCTTTTTGATTTGTCTTTCTCATCAGTCGTTGACATATGGAGAACCCCCCGAAACCAGGTTGAAAGTAGTGAAAGGTAAGTAGACGAGCGATGTGCGTCTATGCGTGAACGGTACCAGATTGGCAATTCGTAAATATGTGCAAGGTATAAACAGGTTTTGCGTTTTTGCAGGCATTTCGTTATCTTCAAATTGGCAGATGGCAGTATTCCAAGTCTCAACCAAGCTTTATCCTAGTCAGTGCTCATGAAGGGGTTTCTTTAGGCTTGACGATGGCCGTTGCGCGTAAAAGTACATCCATTGTCGGGGCCCAATTCTCTTTCCGATTGAGGGTAGAGCAGGAGGACCAGGAGTCCCAGAAATATGTATATAATGACATTATGTTGAACAAAAAAATTAAAAAGTCCCTATTTACTCACGCATATCTGCAAAGGGTGATATTATTAGACATGAAAATGTTCGGCTGGATTCGAACCTGAGACCGAACTCGTCGCCACGTATCGATGGAGCAGACTATCATGGTTGGCCAGCTTTCTCGGTGTGTATATCGGTGTTCGAATGTAGTTCTTCCTTAGGAGGGGACGGCAGGGACGGGGAATCCGTCTGGGTCTCCGTAGTTGTATGGAGGGTGTTATCTGTGACCGTGGTCAAGTCATTCCCCTGGTTCTCGGCCTCATGCTGAGTGGTGTGCTCTTGTTGACAAACCACTGCCTCGCTGTGAGTCTCACCAAGATCCGGAGCCTCCTGCGACAAGGGGGACTTCGAATACGTAGTTTCCTGCTCGTCACTATCCCCTGTCTGGTCATCCTTGCGGCTGAACTCGCCGCTCTCGCGTCGGAGAAGGATGTTGCTCCACCGCTTCCTCCTGCTTCCGCTCCGGGATAATGTCGAGAAGTCTTCACTTCGCCGTGATTGCATGGAGAGTCTACCTCGGTCTGCTTCACCCGCCTCGGTGCTGCAGGTCAATGTGGGACCAGAGGGCGACGTCGTGATAGGTGATGTTGGCGTGGGCTTCTTTTCCTGCCATTCCTTTCGTTTCTCGCTGGCCCATGTCCCCCAAGAGCTGAAATAGGCGCCCGCCTTCTGGCTCACGGCACTAACGGAAGCCTGTGCTTGTGCCATATCCACCGAGGGGGCCTTACGTCCAGCAAACCACGAAGCCCCTCCCGTGGAATTGATCGATGCTGTATCGGAAGGAGAAAATGGAGGCGAGTTTCTAGATCCCCTGTCCAGTGACGATCGTTGCGAAGGTGACGTTCTCTCTTCGGTCTTCTTTCGCTGGGCTTCCCGCATAGATTCGATGTCCGCCCAGAAGCTGTTGAATGCAGCACTGACTTTCTTCTGGCCCGTCGAAAGGTGTCTGTTCAGAGCCTCGCGGCCTTCCCGCACGCGCTCATCGAGGTGCAGCTCGGCAACCTGTTGGGTTACACGTCGTTGAACGTCGTCGATTGTCAGACCCCCTGCGCACGGGTGACGAGGCTCCACAATTGAAAACAAAAGCGCATCCGAGGTAAGGCGCTTGAACAATGAATAGTTGGGTGTGTTGCTCCACTGCGCTAAGAATTCTGCATTGAACTCGAGCGCCGGGTCGCCCTCGATGTTGTAAGCTTCCAGCTGAGCACGGCTTCTTCCGCCTGGCTCACCAGTAGTGGAAGAGCTAAGCTCCTCGTGATATTGCATACAGGAGAGCAACGCCAAGAGATACTCCTCAAACTGGAGCCTGATAAATTCTTCGGAACCCATGTAGCCATGCGTTTTGGGCTGCTGAGGATGTGCATCATCCCAGGTTTCATTAATGATTTGGGTGAGAAGGTCGATCCAGCGCCTATCCGCGACAGAGAGAGTAAGAGCATTTCGGAGAGACGGTGAGCTGATGGTAAGAGTGTCTTCGTCAAGCTGCGCATAGAATTAGCAATACAACTGGAATGGTATGGTAGAATAATCTGACGTTGACCAAGATATCGCTATAGCGATCTTTTTGCTGCAGCAATAAAGAGTTTGTGGATCCAACAACATATGACTTGGTTCCGTGATCCGCCAGCAGATCCAGTTGCTGCAACGGGGTGTATGGTCCGAACATGCTTCCCTGCGAGAAGTTAGATCGTCCAGGGTAATCAGTTGAAGATATACGCACCTTGCCGAAAATCTGTAGGGGTAGTCCCATGTATGCCAGCACTGCAGGGTTCAGCACAAATCACAAATAAGCGGGGCCGACAGCATACAGGAGCTTCTGTCACTTGTTTTCAGAGAAGTGGGCTTCTCCACTGTCTGCGCATAGGTGTCAAAAGCTGGATCGGCAGAGTCTTGCAAGCGACTCATCAGACCCGGTATCAACGAGATGAGAGAAAATTGTATCATGCACAACCGCTCACACTTGGTCCCAAAGAAAAGCATCTATGCCGGGTAAGCCGAGTCCTTTCTGAGCAGAATGAACGTACCTTCGGTTGCAAAAGCAGAGCTTTGAACAGGACAAGCGTCTGGTGCTTGAATTCATGAATCATTTCCCGCAGGGAAAGCCCTTCGCGCTTGCGTAAGCCCAGGTCGACCATACAATCAGTCTCAATCGTCTTACCCAGATTCTGATCCTTCGTGTCCTCATCTTTCTTCAAGCTGATAACCAGGCCTTCTCGAAATTTCTAGACACCGATGTCAATCAGAGATCATAGGTTAACATGAATGAGAGCGCACCTTCAATATGTCGTAGTCCGAAAAGTCGCTGTTGCATGTGTCAGCGATCGTGGCACCACTAAGAAGCCTCCAGACCAGAGCAGACTGTCGGAGGAGCACTTGGTAGCATTGCTTCACATACCGTTGCGCAAACCATGCCGACGTAACGATTGACAGCTTCTCCCTGAGTTGCCCCAGCCTCTGGGGACTGTCCGTTATCACCACCACTGCTTTCTGCACCGTTGACCTTGTAACGTCCGGCGGTCGGTAGAGGAGAATATTGGAGTCGATTTGTCGAGAGCATGAGATGCCGAACAGGGAGGTGGCAGGTCGTGTCGCAGTCTCCTTCCGGCGGACCGTGAAATAAGAGAACTCCTCAGTGGACCTGGTAGGCAATGCGTATGAGCTCAAATGAGCATTTTGTACGGGGGTACGGAATTAGGGATGGAAAGCCAGCTCGGGTCGTACAAATGCGCTCCGTCCGATAAGGCCATGAATGGCAATAAGGACCAGTCGTTCTCCGCAGCCGAGTCTCCTCCATCGTCACCGAAGCATAGTTCAATTTCAGGGCCTCTAAACAAGTTTGATGAAAGTTCAGAATTAGCTTGTCATTCGTGCACTATAGCGAATGGAGAAAAGCGAGAGATAGGGGCTGAGTGCGGATTGCGCCGCGGGTGGGCGCAAAGGACGCACGCGCAAGAATGTTCCCGACATGCTTGTTCTTAATCGATCGGTCTCGCCACCTTTGAGAAAGCAGAGAAAGTCGCTGCCGCATTGACTCCCCTCTACTCTCCTTCTCAGATATGTACATACCTTG